TATGCAGCTACTGTTGGCGGCTGGAAGACGGCTTGAGTGCTTGCGGTTGTAACGGTTGTCGTTTGGTGCTCAGCTTTGTGGCGCGAATGTTACCGGGCTCCCGCTGAGTTGAGACAGCTGGGAGCGGATCTTTATGTCGTCACGCAGATATTTGTGATGACATGCCATATGGAAGCTATCATGCCAGTCGACACACATACATCTACTGCGCTGCCACGAGCCTTACATTTCGCGCCTATCTTTGCGGAATATCGTATTCCTGACAACGCCTTTGGAGCTGCTATACCGGTTTTCGAAAGCGTTAGACCGCCGCGGCGATCAAACGGGAAATCCGAAAAGCGCTGCTCAGCATGCCCCCGGCCGACCGTCAGAGCTGATTACAGGGCAGTATTTTGTGTGCTGTGCCAGTTGCAAATTTTCAGTTTGTCTTCAGAGACCAGAGATCTTCGGAGAAAATGCACGGACAAACTAATGCCGTCGTGCCATACGACTGCCATTGCACACTTCCCGCCACCCCGCGGCCATGCGGCCGTCAGGCTCGCCTCTGCCAGAGGCGGTACTTGGAGCCGGACAGTGCGCCGGAGGCGGTACGCGAGGTCGGCGCGCCGGCGGCGAGTGTAGGCCGCCGCCGCCGCCGCCGTCTGCCCGTAAATTTGCCACCATTCCACCCGCTGGAGGCATAATTGCCGCAATTACGGCCGGGAGACACGCTACGACTACGAGCTCGCCATGCCCGTCGGCCGCAGACGGCTGTGCACGGTCGGCCTGCCCGGCCACCGCCCCCCCCCCCCCCCCCCGTCTGCCGGGCGCGCCTCCGTCGGCCCGACGCTGTCATGGCGACCGTAGGCGCGCCCCCCGCCCGATGACGGCCGGCCAGTGCAACGAACGACCGGCCGGCCGCCACCACCCGCCGCGCGCTTTTTGCTTTCGCTTGGCGTCGTTTCTGGCGGCCGGCGGTGTCAGTGACCGCCGCAGGGCGGCGCTGGGGTCGGCGGCCGGCGACGGGCGGCTACAGCCGCAGCGGGTGTCGACGCGTTCTAGTGGTGCTTCTCACCGCCGGGCTAGCGGCTTGGAGATGGCCATTGTTTTCGCTACGTGGGCGAGCGAAATAGCGGAAGGAGGCAGCACCTTCCAGACGCCGCGAAACATGGCAGCATCCCGCGTTGCCGTATCTTGCAGTCAATTTGATACGCCACCTCCTATCTGTACTACACTCATTGGCCTTGGCAATATTGGACATCCGGGAGTGCGCAGCGCATGACCTGACGCCTCGTGCGTTGGGCCTCCGGCGGCCGCAGTTACGCCGCGTCCAACAACGTACGGGGGCGCGCTGTCGCAACGCCACCGTGCATCGATTCTCTGTAAGGCGGCGATGTCGCGCCCTCGCTCGGTGGCGTGTCGCCGTCTGCCGCCGCGCGTCCCGCCCGTCCCCTGTCAACGGTCGGCACCGACACCGCCGCGCTCGGTCCTCACCCCGCCGACGTCCGCCCGCTCTGTCCTGCGCCTCGCTCTGCCCTGCGTCCAGCTCTGTCCAGCGCTCCGCTCTGCCCTGTGCCACGCTCTGCCCTGTGTTCCGCTCTGCCCTGCGCTCCGCTCTGCCTTGCGCTCCGCTCTGCCCTGCATCCCGCCTTGCCTTGTGGCGTGATTTTGGTGGTGGGGGGTTCGTCGACTGCGAGGATGCCTTGCGCCTGTGTGCTGTGTGTTCTGTATCGTCATACGTCAATGTTGGAGCTTTGTAGTTTTTCCCCGCATTGCTTTACCCATAGCATAGCAGCAATATCAGCATCAGAACACCCAAAACATCACCTCAAATCATTCAAAATTGAAAGGATATTTTTTCCGCGGGAGAAACGATGTATTTCCGCCTACAAACATGTCAGCATATGTGCCACAGTGGTGCCCGTGCCGCGAGCCTGTCTCACGGTGCCCGCGACCTGGCCGCCCTCTGAGCGAGGCCCACCCCTGTGCCCGCAGTCGGCGTCGGAGGACGTGCCCGAGGACAAGCGCTGTCGGCTGGAGGAGGCGGCGCCGGCGGCGGCGCTGCTCTGCCCGCCCGGCTTCCTGGACCCGGCGCTGCTGTACCGCTGGCACGGCTGGCCGTACGTGGCGGCGCTGCCCCGCCTGCTGCCGCCCTCGCCGGTCGCCGCGCCGGCGCACACCGCCACCAAGGAGCCGGCGCCCGGCGCCGCCCTGCATACCACCTCGTGAGTCTGAACCCGCGCTCATGTATCCGGCTGGCTGGTTGGCTGGCTGAGTGGCTGGCTGGCTGGCTGTCTGGCTGGCTGGCTGTCTGGCTGGCTGGCTGAGTGCCTGGCTGTGTGGCTGTGTGGCTGGCTGGGTGACTGAGTGACTGACTGTGTTGTGCTGTGTTGCGCTGTGTCGCCAGGTGCCCCGCAATACCTGATACACGAGATGCCGTCCGTGGCTCCGTCTTCGGCATGTCCTTGTGTGCCGGCGGTTGGGGCGGGGCGGCAGCGGCGGCAGCGGCGGCAGACTGGCTGCCGCCGTGGCCACTGCCGCCCTCCGGCCGGCCGGCTCGCCCATTCATCGCGCCGCACGGATACGGTTCCGCGAAGCGCCGTCGGCCAGTTGCCAGCTCTGGCCAGCGGGCACCTTAAATACGCGAGCCAGGGACTCCCGGAAAGCCGTAGCACTGCGCCTGGCCGTCTGCCGGCTCCGACCGCGGCGGCGTGCGGCGGTGGGCTGGCGCCGCCTGCTCCTGGGACCCGGCCGAGCACAGACGCCTCCGGCACGGCTCGCGTGCTGACCGCCGCTGTAAGATGGACATTGACGCGATGTGTGCACGTCATGGCGTGGGAGGGAAGAGGGGGTGTGGGAGGGGGGGGGGGGGTAGGCAGGCGTCCCCCAAAACAAGGCTTTTTATTTTCGGGAATATTTGGTGATTTTCGTCAAAATAGCGAACACCGCGGGTTAGAAGGGGCATGACGGCAGCTGACACTTACCTGCCAAAATGTGAAGGTAAACCCTGTTCTCCTTCATGGAAGGGACCGACTACAGATCCGACTTCTCCGCCGACTCCAGCAAGCAGCCGCCGCCACCGGTCAAAATGCTGACAAAACATATGGGGGTGGGGGGTGGGGGGGGGGGGCAAGGCCCTCCAAAGGGATGTAAATCGTCACTCATGGGGCACTGTCCGTCCAACAATAAATTCACCGGTCTTGCAAAACCGTTCCTCATCGACCCAGCGCCTGATGGTGTGTGGTTTGCGAGAGACTTCGTAGTGACCGTTACTAGGTGCATTCCCAGACCGCTTCCTTCTTCGAGCCTGTCCGCACCTGCTGCTGGCGCCGCAGTTCCCTGTGCCATGTACGGCGTCGGTGCGCGCGGTCGTCCGGCGGCGGTCACCAGTCTGCGGTCGGCCTGTGCGGCGGCCGGCCGCCACACGACCTTGGCAGACCGCTGCCCCAGCTCCGGCCGCGCCTGACCAGCGCAGCCGCCGCCGCCGCCGCCGCCGCCGCCGCTGCGCTCCGCTCGTGCTATAACCGGCGGCGGCCGATTCCCAGAAAGGCCTGGCCCCGCCCCCGGGCCGCCCGCCCCCCACCCCTACCCCTCTGCCATTGAGGGCATGGCTGGCGGCGCAGCTGGGAGCGCGGCCCCGCGCCACCGAGTGAGACGCTGCCCGCCGCTCAAAGAAACCCTGCCGCTCCGAACAAAGCGCCCCGGTTCTTGAAGGCGCTGCGGCCCGCTGCGCGGAAACCGGCGGATTGTGAAGCGCAGAGACACCCGGCGATCATCGCAGACGGCCCGGCCACCGATGAAAGAGACTTGCCGCCGATTTGGGACGGGCGGGCGCGGCTGAGAGTTCCCCGGCGGCCGGACGGCCGGCTCACGTTCGGGGAGAAGTCATGCCGCAACTTCCATGGTCCAAACTTGAGTGACACAAGTCTGCGATTGGCAAACTTCGGCGCGGGAGAACTTGCCGGCATTGCCAGTCGATGCCGGACCGTGCGCGCGGCGAGCGTCGTCTTTCCGCTGGGAGGGCGGCAGCTGTGTGGGCGGCGATCCGCTCCTCGACCGCCGCCCCGCCCCGCCCCGCCCCGCCGCCGTCGCGTTCAGCGGCGCCGGCCGAGCCGGGCCCGCGGTCCGGGCGCCACCGACCGTTCGGTGTCCGCGGGCGGCCGTCCGGTGACTCGCGCCGCGGTAGGTCACAGACAGCCCCGGGAGACCGGAGAGGGGCAGGCAGGTCGGCGCTCGAGCGCCGGCCGCCGCTGCCGCCGCCGGCCGGAGTGCGGCCGGGTGTCAACAGCGTGACGCGCGGCCGCGCGGGCGAGGCGGGCTGGAGCGGTCCGCGTTCCATCCGAGGGCAGGTGTCGCGCAGCCAGCCGTTGTTGTCTGCGCGTGCTGAATGTGATGGGTAGTTGGTGCGTCCAGTGCAGCTGTTCTCGATCGTGGAATATTTGTGTGTGTGCTGTTGGTGGTGCGGTTTGCGGCTTGTCGCGCGGGACGTGTTGATGTGTGTTCGGGGTGACGTGTTGGAACTGTTGCTACACGCTGTCTGGCAAGCGAGCCTCCTCTCAGTCTCCGTCTGACCGTGATGGACGGCTCGTCCAGTAGGCCAGCTATGTGAGCGAGGCGCCTCCTCAAAACACGCCTTTGTGTGTCAAAGTGGATGTATTTTCTTTGCGTCGGGCCGCCCGCCGCCGGCCGGGAGTAGGCCGCGCGCCGCCGACCTTGTGCCGTCCGTCGGTCCGTCGGCCGGTCGGCCCGCTGGCGCTGACGTGTGCGTTCCGGACCGACAGGCGAGCGTTCCTGTCGCACGAGCCGCCCGTGCTGCTCCACCCGGACCGCGTGGTGAAGAACGACGACGTCAAGCAGCACGAGCGGCACTTCCAGCCGAATGTGGCGCTGGCGCCGCACCAGTCGGCCGGCGACAAGGTACGCGGCACGCGGCGGCACGCCGGCTGCGGCCGCGCCCGAGCCGCCGGGCAGCGCGCGGCCGACGTACGGTCGGGGTTTGCCCTTCCAGCAGCCGCACAGAGATGGCGGGTGCCGCGCCGGGGCGGATGGCTGAGCGGACGGACGGGATGTCGTGGACAGTGTCAGTGTCGCACCAGGTGGTCTCTGTGACGCGATCCGGCTCGCCTGTGGCCCTGTGACCTGGGCGAGGGGGGGGGGGGATCTGCGACTGCACCCGTCCCCGAGAAGCAGGCCGTGAGACGCTCCGCCGCGCGCCCCTCAGCCGTCTCCAGTAGCGGCGCGGTGGCGCGGCCGGCCGCCGTTCACCCCGCTGTGACGCTCCGCTCACGCCGGCAGGGTCGCGGCTCGGACGGCGACTCCGCCGAGCTGCTGGCCGACGTGGACGGCGCGGTGGCGCGCGTGGCCTCGCTGGCGGCGCCACTGTCGCCCGGCGGACGCGACGCCGTGGTGGAGACGGTGCGCGCGCTCGCCGACGCCGTCACGCGACTGCGCGCCGAGAACAAGCAGAAGACGGTGAGTGGTGTGAGCGGAACGGACAAGAGGGGGGGGGGGGGGAGAAGGGGGGGGGGCGTCGTCCGGCGGGGTTGTCGGGCGACGCTCGACGCGGGGGTTGTGCGTGCCGTCAGCGACGCGCTTGGTTGGACATGGTAATTGTGACGCAGAGAGCGAAACCCGGCCGATCGTGGATAGCTGGCTACGGAAGCGACCAGGTATTCGCGCTGACGGCGTGCGTTGGCTTCCCGAAGCCCCAGAGCTGCCACCGGTCGTGTTGAGATTCGATGTTTGGATAGAGTCACCACGTGGCCGTTTGCTCTCGTTGGTATTCCCTGAAGTTACGTAAGTGTTTGAGCGCGGTCCGCCAAAGCCTAAGAGGCGGCTGTCGCTGGCTGCTGGCGGCGTCGATCCAGCGGCTGCCGCTCAGCGGACGGCGCCGCCAGGGGCGCCAGTGTCGCGCCGCCGCCTGACCGCCTCGCCGCCCGCAGACCCTGCTGGAGGAGAGGACCGCCCACCTGCGGGACCTGATCGTCACGCAGCAGAAGGATGCCGCCCGTCAGGCTCTGATGGATGCCGAGGTAACCGTTGGCGGCCACTCGGCCGTCTGTGCGCTTCGACCCGCGCGGCAACACCTCTGGCTGTCGGGCTCGTCTGATATAGATGTGGAGATGCATTACTGGCGCAGCTAGGTGCAAACGGTCGCGGAAGGTGCAGATAAATGCCAGAATTATCTTGTTTTGTGCAGCTACTTTCGTGCGTTTGATGCGATCATTTTCACCGACCTTGTTGAAGCTCTTGTTGGTCCTAAAGAAGAATGCCAAGCTTGATGCGTTAGTGGCTGTGCGGCCGCGCACCGGGACGCGGTCAAAGCCAGTCACTGCCACATGTCAGCATCGACGATCCCCACCATGCGATGTACCGCAGCCGACGTGCCTCGCCCAGGCTCTAACCGCCCCTCCCCATGCCGGCAGGAGAGCGAGGGTCACAAGGTGGCAGCGCTCGACTGCGTGGTGCGCAGCCGCCGGCCGTCGCCGCCAGGCTCGACGCCCACCAGCCCCGCCGGCGGCGCCGCCAAAGCCAGCAGCCGGCCGGCCAGCGCCGAGTAGTGCCGCATTCCGCCGCCGCGCGGCGCCACCGGCGCTGCCGTCGCGCCGCGCCCCGCAGGCGTCGCGGCCGACGGCGGGCTATGCGGAGCTGGGGCGCGCGAGTCGTCGGTCCGGGCCGCCAAAGGCGGCCGGCGCGCGCGCGGGACTCACCGGCCGCGGTCTAACCGCGCCGGGATGGCGCGCGCGGGACTCGTGGGCCACGGTCTGACCGTGCCCGGGTGGCGACGCTCGCCGACCGTGGGCGACGCCGCGGCCGCCGGCCAACCGACCCCTCGGGCTGTGGCTTTTCTGTGAAGGCGCCGGCTCCGCCGAGCGGTCGGTGTTTCTGTCTGCGTGCGTGAGTGCGTGAGAGCGAGGCGGGCGCGCCGACCGCGGCCTGCGCCCGCTGGGCCGCGCTGACCACCGCCCCGCTCCGCCCGAGCGCGGCGGGCGCCGGCCAGGTCACGTGGCGCCCGGGTGCCGACCCTGCCGCCAGCCAGCGAAGGGCCGACCTTTTGTGATGGGGAGTCAACCGATGATACCCGCTGTAACACTACCTGAATTTTACCTCATTAACAATGCTACCAGACAGTCCAGTAGCCAAGAGTTTGCGTCAGTGTAACTCTCCGTTGTCTTAGAAATACGCCGCTTCTTCCAGTCGTACCCGACGCGACGCGACGTCGCCGCTCGCCTCGCCGACGCTGCGCGGGCGCCCGCCCCGGCCCTCCGTGACAGAATGTCTCCGACGAGAGCGCCCCGGGCTTTGCGGCGGCCGGCTCGGCTCCGACCGCGGTTGTGTCGTGTCAAATCTCCTTTCCCGTGGTGTGCGACTTCATTCACTTATTACTGTAGTGTGCTCGTCTCGGTGGGCGACAAGACGCGCCCGGCAATGGTCGAGGCGAGGCGCGCGGCGCGCGGCGCGCCGCCCGCCCGCCGGAGCCCACCTGCTAGTACCTGATGGGACCGTGTTGCTGGGTTTCTTGTTAATTGTAGAGGCGTTCTGCTATCGAGTGCTGCCACTGCCTGCCGAAGCTGCCAACTGTGACGTCAGACTGCCGCGCGAGCCGTGTCCGGGCGGGCGCGGACGGCGCGCAACCGGGGCCGACCCGTCGGGCCGCGCCTCGCGCGCCGCCCGCCCCGTCGCCAGCCTCTCTGTGCATCCACACAATGACGCGGCCGCTCACAGCGTGGAATTGGTGTTGCACGATACGTTCTGGATGGTGGAGCTGCGCGTTTCGGCCGCGTCAGCTCCCCTTCCCTTGTGTTTCCGTTCGATCTGCGCAGCGTCGGCTGACGTTCCCTTGTCCTTTGTCTCTTCCTTGCCTGGTATCTCGCGCAGCTATCATACAGTACAAGATACTCAGTCGGTTTTTGTAAGCGCGAAGAAAGCTTTGTCAGGACACTCATTGTGATACGAGAGGTCCATTGGCAGAAGCGTGAAACTATGGTTCGGCCGGTGGACGGCAGATGGCAGGCGCTATGTTGCGGTCCTGCTCTTCGGCACGCGGTGAAATAATTGTTCTTGTGCATGTTCGTTATCAATGCCGCTCGCTGCTTTTAGTATAACATTTAAGTTTTGTTTTGAATAAACATTGAATCGTTACCGGTTATGTTTTCTTGTTTTCTGACGCTGGCTTGATGGCACAAGTTGCTGTTCAAAACGTGCGCGATAAGAGCTTTCCTCGGTTTCCGGGCTGTTGCAACTTTGGCATGGCACCGCGCTCTTGGAAAATATTTGCGTCGACAGTACACTACGCTTATGACCATACCAGTTTGATTTTCTGTTTTACATCACTTAAAACCTCAGAGTATCTGTGCGCATGGTTTTGTCCTGTGTTCGTGTGTTACCGGTCACCTTTCGACGACTTGCCAGGGTAGGAAAGAGATTGCGGACCTGATCACTCGCACCGAATCAGAACTGTGTGAACTCATCGTTTATATGAGCTGAAATGCGCGACGTGCGCGTCGCCACCCAGGCACGGTCCTTCGCCCCTCAGAGCCCTGGCGGCGGCCTGCCAGTGTCACACAAGGCACATGCTCTTCCGTGTCGAAAATTCCGAGCGGTCGCTCGTATAACGCCAAGACTTCGTTGAAGTGGAGAGCATTTCATCGAGTCGCACACGTGATACCTTTGGATGCCCTTTCTTTAAAAAGCTCTGTGCTACAGCACAAGGCATATATCGAACTGCTCCGTAACGCTGGAATGATAAAAGTGTGCGAAAACTGTGTAATTTTCCTCGAAGTTCTTCATTGTAAGCACGTTGAAACCAGCCTGGAACAGTTTGCTAGGATCTTGCTGTAAGTGAACTCAATTTTAGCCATGAAATGAACAAGAGTAATAAACGATGATCTGTTTAATGCGCTGCGAATATATCCCAGCTTTGCTGGGATACCCGATTTATAATTTCGTAGCAGCAAGTTTATTTGCTTGGCATTGAATACGGGAAATAAACATTGAGCACGGTTCATAAATCGTCCAAAAATCGAAACGGCCACAGCCACTGATGCAGCACTGCAGCACAGGATTCGAGCCAACTCGAACATGCCAGGACAACCCACGCTCAGCCTACTGTCGGTCCATACAAGCGGCCCCTCCAAAAACGCTTACAATGCGATATGCAGAGGGCCAGTACGAAGCAAGTACGATACCCTGCAGTGTGAGGGAATTCAGTAGTTTGGCTCCCATAGCACGGCTGATTAATTTCGATTCAAATCGATCAATATTCACCAAATCAGTTCATGCTGCATGTTCAAAACGACCGTCTTTGTCCGGTAGAGTCCGTGGTGGATAGGGATTAAAACAACACCAACACAGAACCTGAGTTGCAGTAAAGCAAAGCCACATTTTCACCCCAGCCGACCCTCAGCCCACGTTCAGCCCACCCTGGCCTATACCGGCGGCCCCTTCAACAATGCTCAATATGTGGCAGGTGGAGGTCCATTGCGTCATGAACACATCGCTTCTCTCTAATGCGGAGGGAATACAAGAGTACGTCAATTTTTCAGATAATTACGTAATTCACACCTATTTTGATATGGAATCATTCCTATGTATTCATATAACATGTTTAATGATTCCAACACGCACTCAGGATTCGATCCAGAGATGAAATGGAAAGCTATGAAAGTGAGCGCGAGAGAAAAAAGAAAGAACACTGGCTTCCTCAGGCCAATTTGTAGGCCGCCCGTTGAACGCCTCGTTAAAGTCTATATGGAACAAAGTTTTGAGTGAAAAATCGGTCTCCTACCCGTAACTCTAGAACGAGAAGTACAAGGAGAACGCGTCGCCTAACTTCGGAATCAGCTCGGCATGCACAGCCGTTCGAGATACAATATAATGACTTTTGGTGATATGTGATTTAAGACGAGATATCTGAATATGGGTTTTTAGATAAGATCTCACGGTGAGTTTTAGGATGAGAACCTGTTTGGACTGGCCTAATCTTCATGGGGGCCGATGTGTCACAGGCCCAGCTAACGCCTAGCTGGAAATCAGCGAAGTCCTAAGCGCTGACGGCATCAAGTCTGATCTCGTTGAAGCAATGCTAAACTCAATGGAAAATAAAGCGTTGGGGAAATATGACTTTAATTTGATGTGACTCAAACATAATAGCCTCTTATAGGCGGTAAAAATTGGACCACACAAAAGTGATTAGTCGACGGGACTGGACAGGTGGGACAGCCCACTCGAACCCCATTGAGTACTGGTATTCAGGCCGGCGGCAGGTAGTGACTGGTCAGCTCGAGACAGCACGGTGCTTAGCAGCAGTTGGCGCAGAGCATGCGAACAAGCTGGGCTCTGAAGTCATACTCATACCAGACTCCCAAACAGGCATGTTTACACTGGGCCGTGAAGAGGCCCGAGTACGTCACGCCAGGATACTGTGTCATGCCGTAAACCCAGAAACCCAGTCTCCCGCTAGGGCAGAGTATGGTGACGAGTCCAGACCACTGGTGGAGAAGTCCAAAGTGGTGTTGGGCTTGCCTCCGGTCTGATCTAGATGCAGCAGCGACCGTTTCAGGCGCACTACGAGGCTACGCGGAAGCCCACGAATTATGAAGTTCTAGAACCACTTTTGACGCTTCTGGCACATGGAACACGTCGGCTTTTCTTCTCCGTCAAGCGCCTCTTCCCTGGCAAAAAGGCCAAACCAGTCCTCCAAGCGCACCTGGCCCATCATGGATGGGATCGGCAGGCTCAGGTCCCAGAACGGGTCAAATGTTACGGACACGTGGCCGCGCACCGTGCACCGCAGCGTGAACATGAACTGCCCGACAAACAGGTCAACGAACTTCGAGTTTTTCAGGAACAGGAAACGATTCCGGGCCTCGAGCGGTTTCTGCCTAGCACTGAGGCTGTCATCGATGTGGGTGTGTTTAGGCTGGGTCGACCATGGACCGACCGTGGGATGAGCGTGGGCCGACCGTTGGGTGACCGTGGACCGGCCGTGGGCCGACCGTGGGCCGGCCGTGGGCTGACCATGGGCCGACCGTGGGCTGACCGTGTGCCGACCGTCGGTTAAGCGGTGGCTGACCGTGGGCTGAGCGTGTGCTGGGCGTGGGCCGTCTTGACAAACCTAACACATTCCCCCACTCATACTAAAACCAGAAAGCAGGGGTGTCAATTTTTATCAATTATGAGGGGGGGGGCGAACCAAAGGTCCGACAATCTATCCCGCCCCCCCCCCCCCCATTTTTTTTTCACCGGATTTAGCCCACTTCATTCTGATTAAACGCAATATATGTTTTAACCTTTATATGATTTGTAGGCCTTAGAGCACCGATGGCGTTCTTCTATGGTGGTCATGGGAGTCGACACGCATTTTGGTTGCGGGGGACGGGAACGGTGTCAGCCATGCAGGACTTAAACCATTCCATATTCCACAGCTTTTCACTTTAACACCTCACAAACCACTGCGTCTCTTTTGGCGCTAGGTATGTGAAGTTTATTGCATCGGTTATCGGCTCAGCTGTAACGATTTGTAACTTGTGGTGAGAGCAGCCATGACTTTTTGTTATGAGAGTGGCACGAGACGACACTACGCAGAAATATCTAAGAAGATAGTCTTTGTGTTATAATCACCATTTACCCACGTTTTTTTGTAGTATTCCAGCCAAAAAATTGGGGGCCAAGCCAACATTGGGAGGTCCAACTCAACATTGGGGGGGGGGGGGGGGCAGGGCCCTCACAAAAGAATACAAATCGACACCTGTACCAGAAATCGACTGAGAGCATGTGGACGCTGGAAAACACTTGTATGGAACGCGCTCTGCTGCGACCTGCCGGGGTCACGCCCCATAAGGCGAAGGAGCGCATGCCCACCTCCTCCTGCCTGGCAGCTCCGCGGGAGCTCGCCGCCAACTTGGTGTTTGCGGCAACAACGGCATTTGATCTCGGAACGACTCTCTGAGCCTCCGCGCAAGCTGCCCAATCAGCGGGCTCTTGCGACGGTCGCCGACTTAGCGCTGCAGGTGGCTGTGGAGACCGGCCTCCGCTAAGAGGAGTACCGGCGCCACTAACAGTGCATGGCTCGTGGAGACGACGGCGGTGCTGGTGAACGGTCAATGCCCCCCCCCCCCCGAGCGAGACAATAGCCTAGGCATGAGGGCACATGGGGCACGCGCCCCCCCCCCCCCCTTGGTCCCGACGGGCCCCTAGGTTCCCTCGACACCTACGATTACAGGCACGATTTGAGGGCCAGAAGGGTCCGAAAGGTCAGCCAGAGGTCGCATTTAGGGACCCTGCCACGCAGGGCCGGGCACTCTAATGTCAGCTAGAGGGCCCGGTGTGCTGATATAGGGTCACCTAAGTTGATAGGTGCTTATATGCCGGTCAGATGCCACCAGTAACGCACAGTCTGTTCCGTGGTAGCATGAGCCTGAGGGCCAATTTTCCAAGCAGGGACAAGACCGGAGCTAGTGATTTACATTGGTCGGGACCCAAACGTCTGCCATAGGCTCACAGCGCCTATAAGGGGCCCTGTTTTGGCAAGAGACCCTGGGTCAGCCAGATGCAGTGTTCGAGGGGTCTCGGAGAGCCTGGAAGCCTCACCGGATGCGAGGATCTAAGGCCCCATTGGAGGGTCTAAGAGCTCAATGGGCTGGTTGTAGCCTTATTCAGGGGGTCAGCCTGCGGGGATGGGCCCACAAATGAGAGTCAGACGGCCCTTTGCGCTGATCAGGGACCCCCTGAGTCGACATGGCCTATAGGTCGGCTAGACACCACTAGTATCGCGCAGCCAGCTCCGTGCCGGCATAGGCCTGAGGGTCTACTTTCCAATTAGATGCTAAGCCGAGGCCAGTGATTTGCACCGACCAGGGCACCTTATCTGCCAGGGGCACACAGGGTTTAACGGAGGGTCCTGTGCTCACAAGGGGCCCCGAGCCGCCCGAGGGCAATGTTCGATGAGGTCCAAACAGGACCCTGGGCGGCCCAATAGAACCGCGATAAAAACTATGCCGCCCTTGTAATGAGAGCTCTATTAACCTCGTTCTCTCAGCATGGTCCTACTACTTCGACTGTTATCCTTTAAGCGCAAAATTTTTAATAATTTGGTATCCCAATTTGAGCGCCAAATACTGCGCTTAACAGACATTACATGTGCTGCTCGTTTTTCATATCGGCGGTACAGTTAGCTACCGCATTTGTGGGCATTGTGGCTGCGTGGGTCGATGTAGTGAGTTGTGTTGAAGGGAGGAGGGGGACATACACCCAGCACTAGTGAAAACTAATATCATTCAAGTTGTTACAGGGTAATAACAGATATTTTGCCATTATATCAGGCATAGTTGATGCCTTCCCACTGTAAGGCCATTAACTATGTGGTTCTGAGTTCTTTTCCTTGTACCTTGAGTATTCAATTTTTTAGAGGCAACTTGGGCCTGTGATATCTGATTTGATTGAGCTCTATTTAGTGTAATGTATCACACGCTCCACTGCTTTGATGCTCCTGGAATGATATTTGTGACCTGCCATTTGGCCTGTAGGTCCTCATCTTACCTCATCAAACTTGGAATGAAAATGCTGCGGAATTATGTTTGCATAGGGTACCAGGGCCCATCACATGGAATAATTTTACATGATCTTATGTTTTCAATATTTGGTTATCACATTTTTTTGAGGGGACTGCTATAATTTGGTATATATGTAGATATATGAATCAATTTCAATCATCTTTGGAAATAGAAGATCCAAAAGGGAGAAGGCCCATTCATCCACTTACAAACTGGCCCCAGACTGTAGCCCAATAGATGTCTAAGTAGGTGTCAGACAACTGGTCACCTTTAGCAAAAAATGAAATGTACCTTACCCACCCAAGGGGCCTCACATTTCAGAGCAGTCTTGAAGCCATTGCATTTGGTGGTGGTACCTGCCAGTTTGATGACACCTGTCAGTGTTTGGTACCTATGAGTAAACAATTTTTAGTTCAGGATGTAGTAAGATCATAACTTCATGATCATGGATCAAGTTGGCATACTTATCTGTGGATGTTGCCGTGGCCAGAGTACTCTGTGAACCCATTGGTTGGTGGGCTGTTAAATCCAAATGGCACTTCAGCTACCAAAGAAGAAGCATTTATGCATTACTGGGATAGGATGACTTACATGGTAGCATTATTATTACTGTGCATGAACTGTGAATGCTGCTAAGGTCCATGCCATATCACTGTCAGGGATGGCTAGTGGTTATTACCATGCTGTTAGGTCTTAAATGAAGAGGGCTCAGGACAGTAAAATGATACTTTTAAGGATTTTCAACATTCAGTCTTGCACTAGGATCAGTTGTGGCATTGACTGTCCCTGTTCACCTGCCATTTTGTTTAACTGTAAAGGAAGCCTATCCAATGCATTCAGTAATAAGCACATGTGTAAATGTTTTTTATGTTGAGTGCCCCTTTTCCATTTCTTTGTTTCTTTGCCTTCCTGATCATAACAAATTCCCTGCTTGATGGTTTCTTGAACAACAGTTTGTGATGATGGCAAATGTATGCTGATTGCTCATTGATTCCCACAAACTGCTGATTGAGTCCCCTGCTGGTCCAGTCCCATGAACAAGCTACTTTATGTCATGCAAGATGTCTATGTCCTGAAACTTATCTGTTTCTCAGTTTGGTATAGAAACCTCATTTGTTTCCCAGTTTGGTGTAGAAACCATATTTGTTTCTCAGTTTGTTATACAATGAGGAACAAGAGAAAAGAGCTATTGAAGTGGCACAAATTTTGCTTGTTTTGCACCTGTCAGGCTGTATTGTATGCAGTGCAGGCTGCCAGTGGCAGCCTGTGCCAGACATATGCTGTGAGTGCAAAGCCTCCCAGAAGATGAATAGGACTATGCTTACACTATGCAACTCAAAGTTCTGGCATGACAAGTGTACTGACACATTCAGTGATGACAGGGATGGCAGGGGCATCAGGGAGAAGGAGATTACAGAGGAGTAGGGAGGAAGCAGATATGTACATATGGCAATATTTAAAATTGATCCTATTATGTTGCATGGAAATAAACAAGTGAAATCATGATTGCCCCTGATCCCACCATATCACCAGGAATGGTGGCATGTTGAAATGTGGCTGGTGAATTGTGGGCCAAACAAGCATGTCTTGCGGCAGTAGTCTGAGGGCTAATGGAGTTTATGAAAATATTTCAGGTATTCAAAAAGGCAGCTTGTTATCACATAAGTGCATTAAATAGAACAGATCATGGGCAAGAAGAAGGTGGGACTTGGAGGATCTCGGAAGAAATCAAGGAAGGAGAAACGGAAAGAACAGAGAACACTTAAAAAGGTGAAGAAGAATGAGCATTACTTTAAGAGATTTAAGAAGGAAGCACCAAAGCATCCATTCACGATTCCGAAGGAACCTAAGGACGATCCTCTTGTCGGTCTGAGTGAAAAAACTGAGCCACAAGCCAAACAGCTCGAGCCAGATGATGAGCCAGTGAAGAAACCACGGCGCCAGGAGAAAACTTTGGTTGAGAAAATTCGTGAAGCCAGAGAAAAAAGTGGTGTTCTGGCTGAGAAAAGGAAGGGAGCTGAAAAGCGAGCTAGGAATGCACAGCTTCGAGAGGCAAATAAGGCAGAAGAAAGACAAATTAAGCACCTGGCAACATTAATGAAAATGAACAAGAGGCGAAAGAAAGGAAAGACGCCATCACTCCCGAAAACATTTGTTTCCGATGGTCTGGACTGTATCCTTTTCAATGCATATAATGTGTGGTTAGTTTGGAGGTTCTGTGAATGAACTAAAACATCTGTAGATGTCTGGGGTGATGACCTGTACCTGTGTGACCTGTACGACCATTACCCGCTCGTCCCTTCCAAGTCGCATCAGTCGGAATGATTTCCGCCCCGAATGTCACATTCAGTGTGAAATAGATCCATTTTTAACATTACTCTAGTGTGCTACATTATTTAAACTCGTTGGATGGGCAGTATTCGATCATCGTCTATCATAATGCAGTCATAAATATGCTGTGCGCCCGTCCTCCAGCTGACAGTGATGAGAACAAAACGAAGCTTGTATATTTTTTAATGCGTGATTATTTGCCTTAATGCGGATCAGATCTTCTGGACGTCACTGATCCGGAGAAGCTCAAGGACCTGAAGCTTCAGGAGCCCACTTTTGAAGACGACGAGGACGATTTCGAGGAAGATCTGGCCATGGTGACAGATGCGGCACGTGGCCAAGCTGCTGAAGTAGAAGAAGATCAGCCAGATAGCGCCTCAGGCGGTGAAGGCCAGGCTGAGTCCGAAGAAGGTGCTGAACAGTCGTTTAGTGACGATGCCGGTAGAGATGATGGCACGGCTGATGGAGAAGGAGGTCTGGATAGTGACGCAGAGGGAATGGACGGCTTCGTTCGAGACAGCGGTTCTGATTCAGACGAACCGGACACAGTTGCTGCTGATGCCACTATCGCTGACTCAGAAGACAATAGTTGTGAGGATGGTGATGATGATGATGGTGAAGATGAGGAAATTGATGAGGAGGGCTCTGGTGACGAAGAAGCCATTACCGAGGGTTCGTCCGATGAAAGTGAGGGAGAATTTGCTGATGAGGTTGATGAAGGTGCTTCCGAAACAGATTCCGTCACCGCTGGAAAGAAAAGTGGATCTTTAAAAAGGCCCGCGAATGAACGGAAACGAAAACTGATCGAAGATGTAGGAGAAGAGGACCTCGCGCTGAATGAGACGAAGAAGTCAAAGAAGAAAAAGCGGAAAAATGAAAATCAGGACACGGACAATGACGGAGTATGGGAAGACATATACGGAAGGTTGCGTGGCAAGGACGGTTCAGTTTTGACCGGAGTAAGTCGTGAACGTCTCTGAAGTCTTGTTACTGTGCTTTGTGTGCCCGTCGTCAAGTAGATCGCTTTTTGTGTATTATTAGTTTTGTGCTTCCTTCGCAGGGGGTGTAATGTGCAGTTCAAAAATGTGGAAAGTTGGTGCTCAACAGGTCGCTGATGTAGTCCGCAGCAATACCAAAACACGAGAGTAATGTGCGACGAACCATGTTCTGATCATATAGCAGCGCGCGCCTCTGCCCCTCGAGCGTTCCCGTCGCCCCTGACTGACGCCCCGCCGGGCTCCTCCAGACCGGCTCGTCGGGGGCCGTCCCGTCCGACGCCGGCGACGGTGGCCCGGCGACGGCCGGCCGCTACCTGCCGCCGGCGCTGCGGGCCCAGCAGATGGCGCTGAGCGGCGACAAGCGGGCCGAGCTGGCGCTGCTGCGCCGCCGGCTACAAGGCCAGCTGAACCGGCTGTCGGCGCGCAGCGCGCGCGGCGTGCTGGCGCTGCTGGAGGAGCTGTACGCCGGCCACAGCCGCCACGACACCAGCCAGGCGCTGACGCAGCTAGTGCACGAGGCGTGCGTGTCGCCGGCGGCGGCGCGGCCCGACCGCCTGCTCATGGAGCACGTCATGCTGGTGGCAGCCCTGCATGCCAACGTCGGCACCGAGGTCGGTGAGTGTGGCGGCGGGGCGGTGGCTGCGCGGCAGCGCGAGCGGCGAGGGCAGCAGCAGTAGCGGGCAGGAACAGGGGTCAGTTGACGCCAAGGCACGCGCGTGTCGGCGCGGGGGGAGGCAGCAGTACCAGAGGATGGGGGGTTCCTCTGTGCCGGGGCCATCAGTCGGCCATCAGTGACGTCATGCAGCTATGAACTCGTAGTTCATGATCGCTCGGTCGTCCGTCTGAAGAGAAGGCCTTGGCAGAACCCGGCCTGGCTCGACTCGCGGCCGATGCGGTACGGGCAGACACGGACGCGTGGCCGACCAGTGCAAGTGTGCCATGTCCGATGTCCTTGGTGACAGGGACCGTGGAGCAAACTATGACGGACTTTCGTCTGCAGGTGCTCACTTCCTGCTGAAGACGGCTCAGCAGTTCCACAAGCTGCTGATGTCGGAGGACCGTGACGACGAAAGCAAGGAGCTGGACAACCTGGTGATACTGCTCGCCCATCTGTACACGTTCAGGGTACGTTAGCTGGCTGCTTGTGTTCTGGGCGCGTCTGGCTGGCTCTGCATCTGCATCGGTGCTGCAACATTTTTTTTCGATCTTGGCAGCCCGTGTGCCATTGGTTTGTACGCGATGGTTTGCCGACCACCTTTCAAAGGACGCCGATAACGTTGAAAGTCTTATGGTTCGGGAGGCCGGAAATGTTTGCGAAATGAATGACCAGCCAATCGACGGCGAGTCTTGTCCGTGTCACCGCTTGGTGCAGTCCTGTTCGACTTTCCGTGCCATCTAGGATGTATATAAGCCTTCATACTCTGAAAGAAGGCCTGGTATATATAGCCGTTCTATTCCATATGTGACCATAGGCGCGTTCGACGATGTTTCTCAACCTCACGCCAAGAAGTTGAACCGTGTCTCACAAAGTAGCGGGAACACGTCTTTAGCTTGTTTATCTTCGCCTCCCGCGTCTTATCATTACCGTCCCCCGTCCCCTTGGCGTACCATCCAATTTTCTAGGGTGAATCCAATCATTCCGTCCTCATCTTGCGTCAGCTCCGCCACCAGCGTCGGTAGCCGTCCCCCAGCGCGGGCTGAGGGCCCGGCTGACCCGCCAGCTGCCTCTGGCAGGTCACCGACAGCGGCGTCATCTACGACGTGCTGAAGATCCTGGCCGACCGCTTCTCGGCCAAGGACGTGGACCTTATCCTGACAGTGCTACGCAGCGTGGGCTTCACCATGCGCAAGGACGACCCGGCCGCGCTGAAGGAGCTCATCCTGCAGCTTCAGGCGCGGGCGGCCGCTGACGCCGGGACCGCCGCCGCCGACGGGTACGGGGCTGGAGCCGCGGGCGGGGAGGGATGGGCGGCCGGAGACCGCCGGCGGGTACGGGGCTGGAGCCGCGGGAGGGAGAGGGATGGGCGGCCGCTGACGCCGGGACCGCCGCCGCCGACGGGCATGGGGCTGGAGCCGCGGGAGGGGTGGGTTGAGCGGCCGGGGACCGCCGCCGCCGACGGGTACGGGACTGGAGCTGCGGGCGGGGCAGGGTGGGCGGCCGGAGACCGCCGGCGGGTACGGGGCTGGAGCCGCGGAAGGGGTGGGATGAGCGGCTGGGGACCGCCGCCGCCGACGGGTACGGGGCTGGAGCCGTGGGCGGGGGCTGACGGCGTGAGCCTTATGTGAGATGGCGGTGGGACTGTGGATAGTATTGAGCAGTTGGAGTGTTGTGTATTGGCAGGCCCGGGCGGTCCTGTTGTTGACTGTTCTTTGGGACGTATTTTCATGATCATCTTTTTTACGCGTAATTTGGCGGGATGAATGATTCGGGCTTGGCCTCGACTTTGGTATCCGATTCCTCACCAAGCATTCCTCACATCTACATGGATCCTATCACCTGAGAAGTCTGAATGACGGGCCAGTTTTGTTCGGCATTGTTCTTTCAGTAATGTCAGGGATGTTCATGGTGTCATTAAAGGTCATAACATGGCCGTGTCTAGTGAAGACTTCTGTCCTTTTGTGGCAAATGCGGCGGATTGAATCAAATCGAAGTCTCGGTGCGTGGGCCTCGGTGCCACTACGTGTGCCGCTTAGCCGATACCTGATGGGGACAGAGTTGTAACAGCCATGCCTCCGGGGCTGCTTTGTTAGTCTTCATTTCCATATGTGGTCTCCCTGCGTCTGTTAGTGTTCTATACAGGTACACAGTTAGGCACTTGACACACCAGCATCCCTTAGTTCACTGGTATTTTTTGTTGTCGAACTGACTGCTTTGGTCTTGAATTCGTGATTTAACCCGTTTGATCCGCTATTTTTCTTTTCCCTTCATTGTCTGACGATAAAGTGCCGTGGTGCACCGCGAAATTAGTGCACGGAGTTGTAGCGAAGCACTCTAACCCGGTCGCTCGGCTCACTGCTCTCAGCAGTCGGATTCGTTTTCTGCTGGACATCGTCATGGCTCTGCGCAACAACAACATCAACAAGATACCGCAGTATGACCCGGGTCTCGGCCAGGAGCTGAACAAGCTGCTCAAGACGTTGGTGAACCCCAACCAGACCATCACTGAATTAAATATCTCGCTGGAGGATCTGCTCAAAGGTGAGGAGCTGGAAAGGTTGGTAGTGTTACCTGAGAGACATACAATGCCTGAATGCAAATCGCTTTGGTATGCTTTTGGAAAGTACCTACGTTCATCTACGAAAACGCTACGGAATATATGTGCACAACCGTCCTCTTTAGGACCTCCCATGACATATGGCACCCTTAAGCTTAAGCTGCGGTGTTGCTATGCTTTACTTTGTTTTTATTAAGTAGCGGTGCCATATTTACTAATGGGGGGCCTCATATACTGTCATCCGTCTCTCCATCGTTTCACTCCTCATCTCTCCACTCACCGTCCCGCCCCTTGCCGCCTATTACATCCCCTTTGGTCGGCCCTTCCCTCCGGTCTCGCTGACCTGCCCCAAAGCGCCCCGCTCTCCACTGATCTTCCCACTCGCCAGTGAGCGCCTCTCACCCCCCCCCCCCCTTCCCCGCCAGCCGAGGAGCGCGGCAAGTGGTGGGTGGTGGGCTCGGCCTGGAGCGGCTCCCTGAAGGAGCGCCAGCAGCCGGCTGCCGGGGAGGAGGAGGCGGCGGCGGACGGCGCGCGGCCGAGGCTGCCCGCCGCCGGCCAGCAGTACTCGGCCGAGCTGCTGGAGCTGGCGCGCCGCCAGCGCATGAACACCGACCTGCGGCGCCACGTCTTCTGCGCCCTCATGACGGCGGAGGTGAGCGGGGGAACGGTGCTCTGGAGGGAGGGATGGGCTGATGAAGGGAGGGAGGGAACTGGTGCAGTCAACGCGCCGTGAGACAAGAGCGAGAGGAGTGGGACTGGGAGATTTCATTGTCATTAGTGGCGCAAAACAGGCTCAGTACATTTATAAAATGAATGAAGCATCGTCTTGAACCAGAAACTGTGGTTCTTTTGCCTACACGCGTGGAGGTTTGTGTAAGGAAAATCGAATTGACTGAAAGGCTAGACTACATGTTTGGAGAAAACTTGAAAGACGAAAAACACTTTTGTTTGTCATTTAACAAGTGGTGTGCTTCCCAAAGCACCTAGCAAAATGTGTTTCCTCGACCCACATCCCGAAAGTGGTGTCAGCCAAAGCAGGCGAGCGATTGTCTCGACGCGCGACAGGTCTCCAAGGCTCTGAATGTGCCGGAGGCCCGCCTGCGCCCGCGCAACCCCACCCCAGACCGCTAACCGGCCGGCGGCCGCGCTTTAGGACTACCTCGACTGCTTCGAGAAGCTGATGCGGCTGGGCCTGCGCGGCCCGCAGCAGGAGCAAGAGATGGCCACGGTCGTGTTGGGCTGCGCGCTGCGCGAGCGCACCTTCAACCCCTACTACAGCCACCTGCTGGAGCGGCTGTGCGCCGCCGATCGCAAGTACCAGGTGCGGCGCGCGCGCTGAGCGGCTGAGCGGCTGGTGCTGCGGCCTCGGGCCTCGAGGCAGGGTGTCGGGCGGTGCCGGAGGAGCCTGGCCTGGCACCAGGCTGTCTACCCCGTCCGCTTGGGAGTGGGGCCGGCGGCTGGCTGCCGTTGAGTGTTTTCTCGCTGGCCGTCGTTTCAGCGGCGTTAGAAATGGGCTGGCTGAAGTGTGGAAACCGGTTTCTTTGTTGTCCCAACGGGAGCGCTTCTGTGTCGGTGGCAGTGTTTTAGTGAGGTGATGTGTTGGCGCGACCGTCGACAGTGCTGTGTGCGGCAGGTTGGGAAGGGTCGATCAATTGGTGTTGGTCAGTGAGTCGCGTCCTGACATTCTTATCGTCGCCGCTGCATGTCTGTTGTCACCTATAGTTCTTCAGTCACCTGTGCTCTGGATCCGTCAGATGCGAGTCAAAATAGCGGTCTGGGAGCATCTGAAGCAGCTGGCTAGCTTAGGCTCAGGTCCAGCCAGCAACTTGGCCAAAATTCTAGCTCATCTGATCTCAACGACCCAGCTAAGCATCGCGGTACTCAAGGTATGCGTGTATACGTTAAGGTGATTAAGGAAGTCAGTGGTGGTCGCAGTAGTCTTCTTGATTTTGCTTACCTCAGAGATAACTAAACATCACGGGTGGATTATTATTCAGGCACGTGACCTTGGGTAGCCCGAAAAGTGAGCACTTTTCCGGGCCATTGTGACGTCATCGCCTGCGACTGTCCTGCTGGTATCTGCTTCCACCCACCCACAGACACCGCACCACCGCGCCCCTCCGTCCGTCACCGGCGAGTCGTGTCCCCCTCACGCTCCGCCGACCCCCACTACGCCGCAGCCCCTCCCTCCATCACAGGCGAGTCATGTCCGCCTCCCGCTCCGCCGACCCCCACTACGCCGCAGCCCCTCCCTCCATCACAGGCGAGTCATGTCCGCCTCCCGCTCCGCCGACCCCCACTATGCCGCAGCCCCTCCCTCCATCACCGGCGAGTCGTGTCCCCCTCACGCTCCGCCGACCCCCACTATGCCGCAGCCCCTCCCTCCATCACCGGCGAGTCGTGTCCCCCTCACGCTCCGCCGACCCCCACTACGCCGCAGCCCCTCCCTCCATCACCGGCGAGTCGTGCGCTCCTCACGCTCGCCGACCTCCGCTCCGCCGCGCCGGCAGGTGGTGGAGTTCTCCGAGATGTCGAAGCCGATGGTGCGCTTCCTGCGTCAGCTGCTGCTGGCGCTGCTGCTGCAGTCCGAGGACGAGCGGGCTGTACGCTCGCTCTTCCAGCGCGCGGCCGGCGCGCCGCTCAAGCACATGCGCGACAGCCTGGTGCTCTTCCTGCACCACTTCGTGCTGCGCAACAAACAGAAGCTGGCCGACGCGGACACGGTGGCGACGCTGGAGGAGCGTGCGCGCGCCGCCGTCGCCGCGCTGAAGGCGGCGGACGGCGTACTGAGGCTATGAGACCGACTGAGGCCGCCGGCGGCGGCTGACAGCCCCGTGCCGTTTAGGGCTGTCGCTCCGGCCAGTGCATCTGTGATAGGGGCTGGCCCTGGCTGAGTGTCCACGTTGCAGCGGCATTGGTGTCACTGCGTCAACGACTGGTGTCCTCAGGTCGTTGCTTATTTATACATTTGAGTACAGCGGAAGTTGTTTTTTCGAGCCTGTTCGAAGCGTCAAAATGGGACCGAGCAATGATTGAGGTTGACACGTCCTGTCGCCAGTTCCGTATGCACAAGGACTGACTTCTGCTGAGCTCCGGCAGGCCAGAGGAGAGTGGCAGGTCAATGGTTACATCCCTCAAGTCTGTTGTGAAAGGAATAATTGTAATGCCACCTGATGTTCAGGGCAAGCCGGTTTGAAAGAACGTCAAGATGCGAAGTTTCAGGATCGGCTCTTCGATGTGAGGTACTGTATTTGAGAGTAGATAGATGCGTTTAGTCCTTAAATAAACGAAATGGCTAGCTATTGAAGACTTGTTTATTTTTTTACTATATTTATTTCGCGTAAAAAATCAACAGGTTCAATAGGCACCCAGTTACGGTTGCAGTCAATAGGCTGAAAAGCAATAACTACACGCGCGTAAACACACTAAACACGCACACGCTCTCGCGCTCTCAGCCCTCGGCGAGCAGATCGACTAGTTGAATGTGCGCACACTGCTGGTAGACCTGCGGGCATTGGAACGGAACGACAGCGGATGAAAAAGCCGGCTGTTTGGATATCCCGAAGAGGGCAGCTGCAGGTGACGGGAATGCGGACAAGGATACTGTTTTTACGGGCTGACACTTCCAAACGGCACGTGGAAGAGACCAATATGGCGCGAACGTCTTACTGGTGCTGCCAGGCCGAACAGCGTGGTCAACTGGGCGCCGTCTAGCTGATGGTGAAACATCTTGTGCATGACTAGAAGATCGGACTGCACTAATCGTGCCTTGGTTGATGGCATGCGGAAATGTAGGGAAATACTTTCATACTTTCATACTTTCAACAGAGAAGGGCACTGACACCTGGTGTTTGCGGCCAGCCGCATGGAAAACCTGTGCTGGAGTCGCTCGCATCGAGCAAGGTGTGTGATGGCAGCCCGCCCCAAATAACGCTGCCATACTTGACCAACCTCACATGAGCGTTGAACGCGAATCGAGTTCAACGCTCATGTGTCGGTCGGATCGACCAAGGCTGTGGTTGAAACGCGCTCGGCGTGGGGACTTCTGCATTTGCATGCTGCGTGCGATAAATCCAAGCATTCCGTTAGCTTTGATCGCAGCGTCAACATGTGATGTAAAAGGGAGCTTTGCGTCCAACAGAACGCCGAGGTCACGGGTCTGATCATACCTTTCCAGGTAATGGTCGTCTTTTGTGTACTGATGGACGGCAGGAGAGATATAGTGTGAAGGAAATTAATTTGCTTTTTACTGGGTTGAGACTGAGTCCACAGGTTCGAGACCAGTCGCAGAGGGGATCCAAGTCCAACTGGAAGGTTACGCAGTCTGCGCTGCTTTCAATGCAGCGGCAGTTTTACATAATCGGCATACATGATGCACTCGCTTGCCATGCGGCTGGATAGGTCCGCCAGAAAACGTGCGAACAGCAGCGGTCCTAAGCTACTGCCCTCTGGTACGCCGGGTAGGACTGGAGCCCAGTCAGATCGCATGCCGTTCAGGATGACTCGCTGCTTGCAATTGGTCAGGTACGACTCAAGCCAGTCGTACGCGACACCAGTCGTTCCGAAAGAGTGTTGAAGCTCGTGCAACAGAGTACATGGTTGACGCTGGTGAACGTCGAGGAGAAGTCTGTGTGGATGGCGTCAGTCTGTTCGCTTCGGGCGATTGAGCTCCAGCAGTGCACATGAAACCAGGAGAGGTTGGTGATGTAGGATCGTCTTGGAAGACAACAGTATTGGGGTGATGGTATGACTAGAAGGCACGCAGGTAGGCTATCACGAACGACCTTATCTAAAATCTTCAAGCAAATTGGCAGCAGTGATACACGTCGATAATTATCAGGTGACTTTCTCGAGCCTTTTTGATGCACCGGAACCACATTAGCCTATTTCCACACGGTGGGAAATATGCCGGATCTAACTGATAATTGCATATCATTTGGATCGGTACAGACAGCTCATCGGCACCCTCTCGCAAGATCCTGGCTCTTAGTCCATCAGGACCACAGGCCTTATGCGTACACAGACCGCGTAACAGCTGTGCTATCCGACCATACGGCACGGTAAAGCAGTTTAGCCCGGGTGCATCGGACAGTGGCGGGTCGGCATAATCCTGACTGTAGGGTCACCAAACTTTTTGGAAAAACACTCATTTAGGCAGTTGGCCCGCCCCACATCACCCTTGCACACATTGCCGTTATATTCGAGAACAGGGGAAACATGCGCGGACGATTTCAAATATTTCACAAATGACCAGTACCGTTTAGGATTGTCCTTAAAGTCACGCACCAATCCAGTCAAGTATCCGCGATACCTGGAGTTAGCCACAGATTTGAAAACAGGTCGAGCGGTGCGGTGATCGGCTATGTTCTCAGCGGTACGGTCGGTCTCGTAGGCCTCTTGAAGGCTGACACATGGATGCTCAGAAGACAAGCAACAAAACTTCCAAAAAACTTCCCGCCAGTTTGACGCCGGCGCTGCCACATTCTTTGCCCCATGCGACGATCGATTTTGACGATGGGCATTGTTGCCAGATGACCGGCACTGTTGGCTATGTTTGCCAGACCCGTAGCCAATCAGTTTCGAGCAATTACACTCGCGATTTGGAAGAGCAAACGCTACCCTAGTGGACCTTTCAGTCAGCGGATCTACCATGGAAGCCAGTCTGGTGTTTCCAATGCATTGCCCATATCCATTTACACGGGTTTCTAAGGGTGTTACGATTGCCGAGTGGCTCCCAAGACTCCGTGACCCCAGACTGATATCCACCCGTTGCTGATTGATGGCCATCTACTGTCGTCACCCCAGCAGCATCACAAGACGTGCGGCCTCTTCCGGCGGCCGCCTTTCCCCCCTCAGGCCAGTTGTCACCACAGTTCGATGTGTGCACTCGAGTGTATTCGTACCATTCACGCCTGTACAAAACGCCAGTGTCCCCGGCTCAATGCACTCACAATATACATACGCAAGCAGTGGCGTCGGGCGCGGCGGGCAGGGCAGGCGGGTGTGGCGAGGCGGCCGAGACACTCTGGGGCCATCGCATGCCGCGGGGTGCGCCGTCTTTTCCGAGGACGAGCGCGGACATGCCGCACGGAGGAGGACGGCGTGTCTCGCGGCGGGTGGGGACCGGAGTGCCATCAGAGCACGCCCATGGCGCGGTACTCCGATCTCGACCCGTGACGTCAGCCGTCCCTCTTCCCCTCCGCGGCCGCAGATGTCAGCCTCAGTTCGAGGAGGCCAGTGGGCAAGAAGCGAGCGCGTGGTCGATTCGCAAGCCGACGCATCCCACCACGAGTGTGGGAATATACGTCAAAAAGGGACATGGAGATGGCGTAGCATCTCCACTGAAAACTTGATAAAACAGCTCACAGACCATACTCTGTGCGAGTGGATCCACAACACCGGCAAGGGACTTGTTCCTGTGATTTAGAGACCAAAATAAAACCATGCCAATTTTTCAAAGCACGTATAAGCAGTGGCCCAGCCACGACCTGCCGGACTGGGAGACCGGATTTTGGTAGGATATACCAGGGGTAGGGGGGGGGGGGCACGACCGCTGGTATGGCGCAGTTATCAGAATGTACAGACTAGATCACCACAGCGAATGTTCAAGAAATGCCGTCCGCGACACAAGCGGACTGCGCCACGGCTGACGCCATGGGCCTCTGCGGCGTCCCAAGCCAGCCATCTGCGCGCCGCGCCTGCCCGGGGCGTCACAGCCGGACGCGACGCCGCCCCGGACGCCCTCACCGGGCGCGCCGACCCCGCGCCCCTCCGTCCAGTCCATACGCAGAATAACAAGTCGCCAAGCACACCACGCAGACGGGTAAATAGTACCTCACCGCGCGGCGCCAACCCGCAGTTCCCTGCGTACAGAACACAAAAACCGCGCACCAGTCAACAGACGGCCGGCGCTGTCGGACGGCAGGCCTCTAGCTCCGGGCGGGGCGAGCGACGCCTGCGCCGGCTCTTTGGAGCGGCTGCTGCCGGATGCCGGCCGACCCGTGCCCCCCAGGGGTATGGCGTGCGCCGACGGTCTGCACACGCTGAGACGGGCCGCGCCGGCCACACGTGGCGTTCGTTTCCGGCGACAGGTGGCGCTGCCGGCGTACTGGTTCGGCCATCAGGCGATAGGTGGCAGCACCAACAGACGCCGGGGAAACTATTGCAGCACAAGGCCAATCTGAAAACGAAAGGCACGGTGGGTTTAGAGCTGAACAAAAACCAGCGAAGCAAAAATGAAAAGAAATATAATATCCGATAGTAACATGCAACACGCACCCAATACTCAGTCTCCACTCAACATGGCGGAAAAAGTATCCATGCACCATTGCTTAGTGAGCATAACAAGCATTGAGTTTCGATATCCAACCGGGTGCGACATGTCTCGTCAGTCAACACACCCGACTGAAAAGCTGTGTTTATCCCCGCCGCCAGAAGGTTTACTTAACGGCGAAGAGGCTATGCTAGCAGCAAGTACACCATTGAATGAGCATCCATTCTGTACTGAAGGTGGCACATGTAATAGTTGCGATGACACCTTACTTGCAGCTCAACATGTAACCCAAACGAGCCGACGCTTCAATTCGAGAACGTAGCGATAACATGATATTTCGTTGTCCTTTTAACACATGGCTCTACATCCCCTAGTGTACTTGGGGCCTTTTGTACTGGCAGTGTGTCCAAGGCGCACCCCGATCCGAAAATCTTTATTTGCGATTGCGTCTAGTTTTCTTCCCTCTCACCACTAAATTACTGAACGCCTACTATCGATATTCTCATGGATGACAACGACTGCCAGTCACATTAATCTCATGCCACGAAAACCCCAACACAAGCTAACCACCAGATTTTTGGCAGCTCCTGCCCAATGGCCCCACCCGGCCCGGCAGGCTTGTTAACAAACGACCAGAGATGTAAGCCCACAAGGACATTTCATCTCACGACATTCCATCTCACAACCACATTTCATGGCCTTAGCATTTCGCCCTTTGCCAATCGAAATTTCGGCCAGCAGCAAAGCACACCCGCCTTTCCAGTTCAAACCCCAACCAGAGTTCTTCGGGAAGCCCGCCCCAATCACCTGCTTGGGCTCCATGCTAGGGCACTTCCAATTATAGAGGTAGTACTGCAGATTGCCATCGCCGATGCCGAACTTCAGCGGCTCCAGGAACGTCTTGTTCTCCATCAGGTCCAGGGCGTTGAACACGTCAAAGCCCTCCTGTCGGCGGGGCGTCCCAGAAAGCGATAGATTTCCTTCACATT